CCTCTAGCACCTCCAGCACCTCCAGTACCAGCAGCAGGAGCAACAGCTCGAGGACCTCCAGCGCCTCCAGCTCCAGCACCTCTAGCACCTCCAGTACCTCCAGTACCTCCAGCACCAGCAGCTCCACGACCTCTAGCACCAGTAGCACCTCCAGTACCTCCAGCACCAGCAGCTGCAGCACCTCTAGTACCAGCAGCTCCACGACCTCCAGCACCAGCAGCACCTCCAGTACCTCCAGCACCAGCAGCTGCAGCACCTCCAGTACCAGCAGCTCCTCCAGTACCTCCAGCACCAAGAGCTCCAGGTCCTCCAGTAGGAGCTCCGACGACACCAACACCAGAAGGACTCACAGCACCCCCAGAGTCAGCACCCGAAGTCGCAGCACCCCCAGACTCAGGACCCTCGGTCTCAGCACTCTCAGTCCCAGCACCCGCAGGCTCAGTGCCCTCAGTCCCTGTACCCTCAGTCCCAGCACCCGCAGGCTCAGTTCCCTCAGTCCCTGTACCCTCAGTCCCAGCACCCGAAGGCTTAGTGCCCTCAGTCCCTGTACCCTCAGTCCCAGCACCCTCAGGCTCAGTACCCTCAGTCTCTGCTCCAGTGTCCACAGCGGCAGGCTGCAGAGGCGGCGAAGACGGCAGAGGTGGGAACCCGGGGGGGGTAGCCATACGAGGAGAGCGGGCACCCCCTGACTCACCACCTCCAGGCCCAGCACCAGTAGTCTCAGCTCCAGAGTCCACAGCAGCAGGCTGCAGAGGCGGCGAAGACGGCCGTGGCGGGAAACCCGGGGGGGTCTCCAAGCGAGGAGTGCGGCGAGTGGTCGCCGTGTCGTCGGCGACGGCGTCACCCCCCTCAGCTGAGTCAGAGGAGTCAGAAGAGATCTCAACTGGCTCATCCAAGGGGGGTGGGTCTACCTGGGACACACCTGAGGGAGCAGGACCCTGTGGGGGAAGGGGGTCTACCGGGGGGGGGACTGATACCAGGAAGAGAGGTGCGAGGGGGACCGGGTGGGACGCGTGCGGGTGAAGTCGGTAGTAACAGACCGACTCGTCGAAGGTGACGTCCTGAGAGGACAGAACACGACGCGAGGCAGGGTGGTAGAACTGCCAAGGTGGAGCGTCGGTGGGGAAGCCCAGGAAGACACAGCGGAGAGTGCGAGGAGAGAGCTTGCTCGCTTTGGTATCGCGAACAAGGGAGAGCGCGCCCCAGACCCGAAACGACAACGCATCACCAGGCTGCCCCGTCCAACGGAGTGTGGGCAAGGTCTCTGGAGCAGAGACACGGGGCCAGAGGTTGAGCTGATGCGCGGCGTATCGGACCGCTAACGGCCACAGGAAATGGGGAGCAGCCGCATGGATCATGGAGGTACGAGCAACCTCCATGATCAGGCCAATGCGACGCTCAGCTATCCCATTTTGGTGCGGAGAGGCCGGAAGCGTGAACGACTGGGCGATGCCCTCATCCTGGCAGAACGTCTCAAGGACGCCAGGGGAGAACTCACCACCCCTGTCAGAGTGCAGACGCAGGACTGGAAAGTCCCGCCGAAACCGCTCGCGCAGCTGGTGACGAGTAGCACGGATCCAGGGGATCAAGACACCACTGACATCCGCCTTGCGACGCTAGGGGAAGACGGTGGTGTAGCGTGTGTAGTCGTCAACAACTAGCAGGAAGTAGCGCTCCTGGTCCGTTCCACCGACGGGGGCCGGGCCCCACACGTCCAGGTGGAGAGTCTGCAGAGGAGCAGTGGTCGGAGGAAACTCGGAGGAGTGAGGAGCGGCGCGCTGCCGCCCCTCGACGCAAGGAAGGCACGGCGGGGCAAGGTCCTGGGGAGGCCAGAGACAAGGAGACGGGAGTGCATACTGCGTAGACGCGGCAGGGAGGGGTGACCAAGACGGTGGTGCCAGCGCTGAGTCTCGTGCGTGAGTACTCTGCACGAGCAAGACGCAGCTAACTGCCCCGACGCAGACGCCCGACTCGACGCAGCCACCTGACCTGACTCAGCCACCTGTGCAGACGCAGTGGTCAGTGTGTACAGACTAGACCCAGGCTGTCGAGTGAACGTAGCCACGTGACGGCCAGTCCGGGAGAACGTACAGATCGCCACACGCTGCCCTCCAGGAATAAAGGTATCAACCCAGACATCCTGAATGGCAGCGTTGCTCACCAAGTTCGTCGAGAACGTGGGGAGGTGGAGACCTGACAGAGAACCGGAGGGGACTGCTGGACAAGGGAGGACCGTGGAGGCTCTCGCAACTACTGGGCCCCCAGAGGGGTCAGCCAGTGAGACTGGGACAGGTGCTGTGAGTGGTGTAACTGTGGTGCAATCACGAAAAAAGCAGCGTGACGCGCCTGAGTCAATCGTGAAAGTGTGCAAGACCTCAGCTAAGGCAGGACCTGTGGCAGTAGACGCACTAGCACCTAGAGCGTCGGCAGACTCACGGGCACCTAGAGCTGCAGCAGACTGACTAGCACCTGGAGCGGCGGCAGACTCACTAGCACCTGGAGTGGTAGCAGACTCACTAGCACCAAGAGCAGCAGCCTTAACATAACGATAACCTCCACCACGAGGACGGCCTCGCTGAAAAACCCACTCACGAAGCTGCTGAGGGGTGGGGTCGTCCGGGAGAGGCTGTGCCTGCTGCTGTCCACCCGTGGCCGCAGCAACTGCCGCGGAAGTGGCCATGACAGACAGTGACAGTCAGGAGTAGGTCCAGCACCTCCAGCTCCTACATCACCAGCAGCACCTCCAGCACTCCCAGCAGCACCTCCACCAGCAGCAGCAGTAGCACGAGTAGCAGCAGCAGTAGTAGTAGTAGCAGCAGCAGGGCGGCTCGGCGGGGCTGGGCGGCCGCACCTCCTGCACTCCCAGCAGCACCTCCACCAGCAGCAGCAGTAGCGCGAGTAGCAGCAGCAGCAGTAGTAACAGCAGCAGGGCGGTTCGGTGGGGCTGGGCGGCCGCACTTCCACCACTCCCAGCAGTACTTCCTCCAGCAGCAGCAGTAGAACGAGCAGCAGCAGTAGCAGTAGTAGAAGCAGGGCGGCTCGGCTAGGCGTGGGTGGCGCGGCTTGGGTTGGGCGGCGCGGCTCGGCAGGGCGGCGCGTGGGCTGCAGGGGCAGGACGCACGGGCTGCAGGGGCGGTGCGTGGGCTGCAGGGGCGACGCGCGGGCTGCAGGGGCGACGCGCGGGCAGCAGGGGCAGCTCGTACGGGCTGCAGGGGCGACGCGCGGCTCAGCAGGGCGACGCGCGAGCTGCAGGGGCGGCGCGCGGGCTGCAGGGGCAGCACGAACGGGCTGCAGAGGCGGCGCGCGGGCTGCAGGGGCGACGCGCGGGCTGCAGGGGCCGCGCGCACGGGCTGCAGAGGCGACGCGCGGCTCGGCAGGGCTGCGCGCGGGCTGCAGGGGCAGCGTGAACGGGCTGCAGGGGCGACGCGCGGCTCGGCAGGGCGGCGCGCTGGCTCCAGGGGCGGCGCGTGGGCTGCAGGGGCAGCGCGCACGGGCTGCAGGAGCGACGTACGGGCTGCACGAGCGACGCACGGGCTGCAGGAGCGATGCACGGGCTGCAGGGGCAGCGCGTGGGCCACAGGGGCAGGCACGGCTGCAGGGGCAGCACGGTCGCAGGGGCGAGCACGGCTGCAGGGGCAGCACGGTCGCAGGGGCGAGCACGGCTGCAGGGGCAGCGCGGTCGCAGGGGCAGCGCGCGGGCTGCAAGGGCAGCGCGGCTGCAGGGGCAGCGTAGGAAGAAAAATTTACGGTTAGGGAAGGGCGGAACGTTCGGTGGGCCCTAGGAACGATTCTGCTCTAATACCATGTTAGAATCTGCAGGTGGGAATGATGGACTAGGTAGCATGCATGAGTACAAGTACCTAACCCTAAAGTGTTGTACCCCTTGTAGGCTAACCCACTATAGCCTAGAGAGAACACAAACATACAGTTTGACATGGGCTTGCAAGCCAGGGGCGCGCAACAGGTGCGCGTGGGGCAGCTCAAAAGGGGCGCGCAGCAGGTGCGCGCTAGGGGCTGGCGGGCAGCGCGAGTGGCGCGCGCAGCAGCAGGAGCGAGAGGGGGACCGGGCGCAGGGGCTGACGGGCCGCGTAAGTGGCGCACTGGGCAGCTAGGGCGCGGTCAGGAGAGGTCGCGACTGTGAGAGAAAAAACGTATGGCCGCGCGGGCCGTTTAGGAAGGGTCGCAACAGTGAGAGCGGGGGCGCCAGCGCGCTGACTACTGTGTAGGGCGTGGCGCTTCCACTAGGCGGAACGGTGGGCCCACGTAGGAACGGTTCCTACTCTGATAACATGTCAAGAATAGAACTAGGAATGAGTGATTGAACTAGGCAAGGGATGAGTACAAGGGAAACCTAATCCTAAAGTGTTGTATCACTAATGAGTGACCCTACTGTAGCCTAGAGATACAATTGTAATTTGACACTTATGTATCCTCTTGAACTGGCCTTGTGGCCGTTGATTGTGCTCAGAATGCGTGGTGACGTCGTGATCCACCCTGAGCTTTGCCTTGTTGCCTGTTTTGACTGGTCTTGTGACCGTTTGTTGACCTGCTTGCTTTGATGCCCCTCACTTAGCCTATGGGGGTGTGTCAAATATTGTTATTTGTTGTAGGCAACAGTGAGGTGCTCTTTGGTGAGTACAACAGTTTTAGGGTTTCCTATTTGTACCCCTTCCTTTGCTAATCACAAACATTCCGTTGCATTCCTACTTTGAGAGGTGGCTACCCTCTTCTCCGAAAGATGTACAAGCGTGATCTCTGTAAATCTCGCAATTATCAAGGGTCCCTCCGGTACAGTCTCTGCGTTGGCACCATGGGATACATTGAATGAAATAATAATTTACAGCTTGTGGAGTAGGAAGTGTACCAATGCACGCGCAACAGCCTCCCCTACTACACCTCGAATCTCTGCTTTTCTGTTTGCAAATTCTCGATAGCATGAATAGTGGTGGTCCTTTTTTGGACACACGTCCATGTACCGAGGTGCCTCGATCTTCCACGAATCAAACACTGGCACCGTTGACGCCTGCCGCTTCCCATCCACAGTAAATGCCCTCGATATTGACGCGTCGTCCCATAATTCAGCTGGGTCCGCATCAGCTTCACTGTAACCTTTTTCATTTGCACTATCTGTTTTTTTCTTACCTAACCCATTAGCACCACCACCATACACCTTCCCACCCGCTGTAAGTTGACGCATCAACCGATTGATCTCCATGAGTGCCAGGTTCGTAGCCGGCCCGGGATACGACCCCACGAAACAATGATCCCCCCCGTTAGGCACTGGAGGCGCCGTGCGCAACACTATTGGCTTCCCCGTTTGGGCGGCAAACTGCAATCCCCAATTGAGGTACTCTGGGAGGTGGGCTCGCATGGCTTGAACTGGCTCTGTGCACCACTTGTTCACCCAGTAGCCTGCTTCTAGAAGGGTGACGTCAGCTGTGGTGGATATGTTGGTTGGGAATGTGGTGTTGCGATTGGTGTAGATCCCCCGGTGACTGCGATTTATAGAGGGGTTTTGAGTGGGGGCGTAGGGGGAGCAGAGAGAAGGGGGGCAGGTGGGGGGGGACGAGGTTGAGATAGCAGTACTTGGACTGCACACACGCGCAACCACGCGTGTATCCCACATACCAATAAACGCACCAACCAGACCACTTCTTGAGATTAATCCCATCCATCCAAGGACTTCATTAGCAGCACTGCCCTGCCCAACTCACTCCACTACTCAATGCTCCCAGCACACCATATTCCAGTATAATCCCCTCTCAGTATCATTCGCTTTCAGTATCATTCCTTCCATGCTATTCCATGCACCGTCACAAGCACACACTATCAGTCACCATCGTTCCTCCTCCCCCCACTCCAACCCTCAATCCCCTATGCCCTCCCCTCCCAGCGCCACACGCACCTGCATCCAAACTCATCATTCCGGTAAATCCCATCCACCCAGTAAAAGTTGATCCTCATCGTCTCGTTCCTCTCATTCCGCGACTCCTTGCTGAAGTCTGAATGCCCCTTGCGAATCCGCTTGTCTGCCTCCCCCGATAGCAGCCAGTGCAGGTGCAGCGCCAGCACTCGCTGGTGGGAATCGCCTACTATGTTGATCTCGCGGATATCCCTGCTGGCCAGCTGCTCGATCCAACGGCTGGGAGGCGTTTCGGCTGGCGCGCAGGGGAAGAAGGCCCAGCTGCAGTAGTGCGGGAGAGAAGGGGGAGAGGGATGTGGGTGACGGGTAGTGAGAGAGTGAGGGAGGGAGGGTGCAAGGAATTCGTGAGGCAGCAAGGTCACCAGGCAACAGCTACTCACATCACATGAACTTGCTGCTGTGTGCCTTCTGCCACCACCCAGGGATGCAGCAGTGCACGCAGCAGAAAGCACAATCCCAGCCGTTCATTTGCTGGTGGACTGACCAGATTGCCACACAGGGGACATGGCGTGGGGACATGAAGGGGAGAGGGGAGAGGCAGGGGGCGAGGGAGGCGACTCACATGTACTTGCCACTGCGTGCCTTGGTCCACCGACCGGGGATGGAGGAGAGTGCACAGGGAGAGGGTAGCTTGCTGGGAGAGGCAGCATCTGGGGGGGTGGCATTTGGGAAGGCGGTATCTGGGGAGGTGGTATCGCCTTCTCCAAGTGCCTCATCACCAGCTGCCACGTCATCCAGAAGGACCCTATCTTCTGATGATGACCTGGCAGCACTGTCACCACCATCATCAACATCAGCAACAGCTGCAGCCCCCGAATCAGAAGCATCTGCAGGTCTGGAATAAGCAGCATCACCACTATCACCAGCATCATCAGCGCCACTAACAGCAGATTCGTCAGAATCACCTGCAGCAGCATCAACAGCTTTTGCAGGAGCACCTGCAGAGCCAGGAACCTTCTGGGAAACTGATTCTGGCCAGCCAATGGAGAGGCTCCACGTGGCAAGGTCATGGCGGTAGGTGGAGTTGAAATGGGCGGCAAAGGCCGGTGAGAAGTTGAGATTGGCGCAACCCACGTGGAGTGTTGCACTGCAGTGGGGAGTGGGGGTGGGGACAGACGGGCATGTGCAGAGTGCGGGGGGGCATGGGGAGGGGAAAAGAGGTGAGCCAACGGGGGGGAAGGGGAACAGCAGAGAATGTGAGAGAAGGGGGGAGTGTGAGTGAGAGGAGGCAGTGGAGGAGGAAGAGGAAGAAGACGGGGGATGGAGGGGGAGAGGAGGAGGAGCAGGAGGAGGGGTAGGGGGGCATCGACAGCAAGTGGTGCAGAAGCACAGGCAGGATAGGCAAACGGTGAAGCAGGTGGAGACCTGGAGCAGCACGTGGGCAGCACGTGGGCCGCAATGGCTGGAGCATGGCTGAGCTGATCGAGGCAGCGAATGGTGTCCGTCCCACTCACTCCTGTAGATCCCCAGCGACCAAAGAAGACGAGAAGGTGCGTGCCTGTGCTTGCTCCACCAGTGAATGCCTGTGCTTGCACCACGTTGACTTTTGAGTAGACTCAAAAGTCACCACCAGTGCATGCCTGTGCTTGCACCAACAGTGCGTGCCTGTGCCAGCACCACCAGTGCGTGCCTGTGCCAGCACCACCAGTGCTTGACCCACCTGTACACTTCGTTCCCCCACCTGTGCGTGCAAGTACTCGCTGGGCTCTCACCTGTAAGTGCCTGCATCCCACAGGCGGTAGGAGACGAGCAGGTGCGAGAAGGCGCGGGGGTCGAGGCACTGCACCTCCGTATGGCCCAAGGAAGGGTCCTTCAAGGAGAAAACACTGTCATTCTCCCACCAGCTGGGCTCTCACCTGTATGTCCCCGCATCCCACAGGCGGTAGGAGATGCGGAGGTGCGAACAGGCAGGGGGGTCGAGGCACTGCACCTCCCCGTGGCCCAGGGCAGTCCCCAGCAGAGACAGCGTCACGTCCTTCTTCCACCAGCTGGGCTCCATGCTGCTGCCGCTGCTGCTCTCCCCCTCTCCTTTATTCCCCCCTTCTGCGCCGTTCTCCTGTTCACTGCTCGCAGGAGCCACAGGGGGCAGCACCCAGCGAGCAGGCGGGCGCACCCACACGTGAAAGCTGCACTGCTCGCCCCGCACGCAGCGGCTGCAACCCCTCCCGTCCACCACCACCCCACCTGTTGTTGCTGCTGCTGCTGCTTCTCCTGTTGCTGCTTGTGGTCGTATGCTGCTGGTAACAACGGGTTCTGTGAGGGATTCGGGCAAAAAGGGGGTAGCGGGGTGTCTATGAGTCAGTTGCTTGCTTTCTCACTGCCTCTAGCACTCCTCGCACTGCCTCTAGCACTCCTCGCACTATCTTAATTCAAGCAACGCGAGAACATAGTGAAGGAAGCGAACGAGCAAAGATGCACCGCAGAAAGCTGGTGAAGGCAAAACACATGAAGGCGTGCTTTGAGTCGACTCAAAAACACACCCAAAGAAGGCATGCATGCAAGCGAGCGGGTGAGCAAAGACAAAAGGAAGGTGAGGGAAAGCACATAGTACCTGATGACCAGCAAATGTCCCGTGCTAGGGAGGCATTGGATGGAGGAGTTGACTTTTACGCCGGCTAGAGGACTTTCTAGTCGGCTCAAAAAGCAGATGAGGGAAAGAACATAGTACCTGATGACCAGCAAATGTCCTGCTCCAGGGCGGCATTGGATGGAGCATGGGCGGCATAGGATGGAGCATGGGCAGCATTGGATGGAGCATGGGCGGCATTGGATGGACGGTCTGCAGCGTGTGACGGTGCTCGTGTGGCGCTACTGCCAATGGAATGCGGCACGAGGAGACGAGATAGACGCGGAAGAAGGGGCCCGGAGGACGGGCGCGGAGGACGGGCGCGGGGGAGGGGCGCAGAGGAGGGGCGCGGAATAGGAGCGGGTTGGAAGAGGCGGGGGGAAAAGGGGTGACATGACAGGTTAGTACAGATGAGACAGAAGGGAGTAGATATGGATTTTGGTATTTGACTCGTGCATGGGGGCGGGATGTGTGGCATGGGGATGAAGGCGCGCATGGGCCCCAAGTTGGACCTTGTATGCGCACATGGGGAAAGGATGGGGGCGGAATGCGCACATGGGGAAGGGATGGGGGCGGAATGCGCACATGGGGAAGGGATGGGGGCGGAATGCGCACAAGGGGAAGGGATGGGGGCGGAATGCGCACATGAGGAAGGGATGGGGGCGGAATGCGCACACGGGGAAGGGATGGGGGCGGAATGAGCACATGGGGAAGGGATGGGGGCGGAATGCGCACATGGGGAAGGGATGGGGGCGGAATGCGCACATGGGGAAGGGATGGGGGCGGAATGCGCACATGGGGAAGGGATGGGGGCGGAATGCGCACATGGGGAAGGGATGGGGGCGGATGCGCACAAGGGGAAGGGATGGGGGCGGAATGCGCACATGAGGAAGGGATGGGGGCGGAATGCGCACACGGGGAAGGGATGGGGGCGGAATGAGCACATGGGGAAGGGATGGGGGCGGAATGCGCACATGGGGAAGGGATGGGGGCGGAATGCGCACATGGGGAAGGCATGGGCGGAAGGCGCACCATGGGGAAGGGATGGGCCGGAATGCGCACATGGGGGAGAAATGGGGGCAGAATGCGCACATGGGGGAGGGATGGGGGCTGAATGCGCGCGGAATGGATTCTAGCAACGGGTTACTGAGTGGACCAACACGGTTACAGACCTGGTGGAGCTACGAGCTCAACACAAGAATTAACACGGAAATTAACGGTTTTACACATAAGGCGAATCAGGGTCATGCACGACTCACTCAAACTGAAAGTGATTACAAACCTGTTGGCGTCGTTACGTCCTCTTGCTACACCGGGCGAGCCCAGCAGCGCTTCTATTGGCTGCTGCACACCCCACGTGCCGCGTGTTCCCCACGTGGGCCCGTCGCCCGCGAATTGCGGCCACACCTCGACCACCACGAGCGCCAGCAGCAGCGCGTTGAGCAGCGCGAGTAGCGGAGGGCTCACGCGAGGCCATTCCAGAACGCCTCTCCCATTCTCTGACAGCTTCCCGCCCTTTTGAAAAGGAGTGGCTGCCACTCGATATAATCACAATTTAAAAAAAAGGCAAGGATTTACATGGGGATTGAACGGCATGTGAGGAATGAGAGACGCACGCACAAGGTCGGAGGAGGCAAGGCACATCGCAACCAAGGTCGATTACGAGTGCTAGCGTGCTGGGATGACTGATGCACTCAAAGCCTCCCCCCGTTGAGCCACTGGGGGTTCGGCTCAAAAAACTCAACCGCGCCTCGGTGAGGCACTGGGGGACTCGACGCTATTGCAAAAAAATCGCACGCACAAGGTCGCAGACTAAGAGGGGGCAAGGAGAGGGAGGCAGGAGTGGGAAAGGAGAAAGTGTGATGGAATGCGTATTATGACTGCATCACTTCTGTTAATTCTCAAAAGCAAGGCGAGGCGCAAAATGCTAACATCTGTTCGGACCAGGGGCGCTAGGGAGCACAGGGTGCTTAATCATTGCGCCTACTTTGAAAGCAGACAGCGGGTCGTTGCCAGTTTGCTCCGTTTCTATAAACGCACCTGCGTTCGTAACCGTATGGCTCGCCATGCGGCGAGCTCGCTGGGGAACGCTGAGGCACGGAGCGACTAGCGTGGAGAAAATATCGAGCAGACGATAACGTGTCTCGACGTCCCGACTAAAGAAATTCTAAGAAAACTCTAATAAACGCAGGGGAACAAAGAAAGTTCAGCGCAATCACGAGTCTAAGAGCCAGGGAAGGCGGAGGCGCGGTATCGACGTCGCGACAGAATTGATGAATTCAAGTAGTACGGTCGATAAAAACAAACTTCGCGTGTTCGGTCAATCACTTCCATAGCTTTGAGTATACTTGAAGTCAAGCAGTCGGTTTGCTTCTACCAGCGCCGCTGCTAGCTCGAGAAATCTTTAGGCGTGTGAGATCCTAATGGCCCAAGTTGTGACGACGGATTTGTTGCGAAGTAGTAGCAGGCATGCGAAGCTCGCGAGCATTTCTGCGCGTTGTCCACAATCGATTTCTGCCATCCAACCCTAAACAACCTGTCGGCCACAACGAAGTTGTAACCCTTTTCGAAGTGTTGCACACGTTTGGCACCATCACGTTCTGCGATTGACGATGTTTTATGCGGCTCGCGCGATGAGGTCCAACAAGTCGCCCACGACGGGGTCCCGCTGGGGCTTGCGAAACCAGACACATGGAAACTTGAAACCGCGAAAGCGTGGGCTGGAAACCCGCCAATACCGTTGACCAAAATAAGGGCGCGTGTCTTATGGTGTAGAAGTTCAAAATTAAGGTCAACTTTTGTTGGTTACCGGTGTCGTCAATTCCGCCGAGAGCTCTTTGCGAGAATCGTGTGTCCAAGTTCAAAGGTTGATGAAACCGAAGGACAATGAACTGGGGTCGAATTTTCACAAGCCCGTTTATCCAAACGTGTGTTCTTCCTCTCGTGCACAGTGAATTTGCGAGTTTTGCGAAAGTAACGACGGATAACGGACCACGTTACTGAATTTGGATTCGATCACGAGCTACGCAATCAAAACAGGTAATCTACTGTATAAAATCGAACCTTCGAATGTCGAACTTTGTTGTTACTCTTGCTTGATGCAAAAGGTGATGATGAAATTGCCCTCCAAAAGTCGAGATGGTCGACTACAAGTCGACCAGAGTTCAAACGGGAAGATTCGAGTTAAAAACATGAACCTTACAATAAATTTCAAAAGACACACGCCCTGATTGTCGATGCTTCAATCAGGTCCCCGTAGGCGGTGTTCCCTAGGCTCTCGAGCGTGTCATCGTTTTCCGTCCAGGTGTATGACGTGGTTGAGAACGTTCACAATTTGGGTGCGGTTCCAGATTTCACCAGTTTATATCTGTAAGGAAAATTCCTTTTCCTTACTTCGCGTCCCTCCCTGCTCAGCGCGTACACCACTGTTCCCACCAACAGCGCCCAACAGTAATCCGTTACCACACGCGACACTCGCCTCGACACCCGCCACTGTTCAGGACGCGACCCAACCTCACAGTTCGGTTGGTAACCCGCGCTCGAGACCTCCGACTCGACAGTTTCCCAACCTCGGCGCTAGGCCCGTCGCGCACCCCATTTTCACACATTACCGTTACCACTGTAGTTTCGCTATATATTCTTCGCTCATGCCATCGCTCATGGTACTCTTGCTTCGATAGTGCAATTCTCGCTCGCTCAATCAATTTTACTCGTAACACTTGGTATTCAGAGCCTACGATCTTCTCTCGGACCTCACCCACACCTTCGCTTCCCCACAATTGTTGGAAACAACTAATTCTAAGCGCCTCTGTCGTGTCGAAACACCAAGTCAGAAGCGAAGCAAAGCATATCGAAACACCGGCGAGTCAACCCTCGGAGGTTGAACAGTTGCTGGAGGTTACGCGAAAGTCAAAGGTCAGCGACCTTTGACCTGACAAATACAGCGCGACAGCAAGGACACACAACTGACTCACTACAGAGCAGTTGCCCGAGTCGTCACTGTATCGAACCGCAACGGCAACAGTAAAGTAGTTACAACCGTATCTCTTCGTATTCCTTGTACTCTTATATAACCTTGTATCTCCTTGCTTTAATCAATCTACTTTGCCCTCACATACTAGCGCAAGGTGGTTCAAACACTTCTCATTAAGCTTCCGCTATTACAACAAGTCCGAATCAGAGTTTAGCCCTGCAAAGATCCTAAGGGCTTTTTCTCAGCCCAACATGGTATGAGAGCTATCAGGGCAAACTCAACTATTATCAAGACACCTACAACATCAGAAGGCATGGCAACTCAGAAGGAGAGAAGCTCCTCTAACGACTCTCCTGGTACCACTCCTACTCCACCTCCTGCCTCTGGCCTACAGACAGAGGAAGGCACAGCAACAAGACCGGCAGCTACGTCTACTGAAACTCCCGCAAATCAAGCTACGGGCTTCGACCCAAGCATGATGGAGAAGTTCTTCTCCTTCATGTCCTTCTACGAGCAGCATCAGCAAACGGCACCTGCGCAGTCAAACATCAGCAACAACAACAACGACGTCACACCCATGAGTCTTGATGGCTCATCCTATGCGCGCGGAAACCAGCAGCAACCTACCTTCGCCCCGTATGAACCTCAGCGTGGTTCAGTCAGCTTCATGCCGCGCCAGCAGACTTCACCTGAGCAAGAGAAAACATTGGACGCACTTCAAGTTCAGTCGCAGTTCGCGCACGTCCTAAAACTACAGACATCAAGACCGTTCGACGGAAAAGACTTCTTTACCTGGTCATTCGAATTCGAGCTAATGATGGAAGGCGCGCAGATACTTGGCTTCTTCGACGGGTCCCTGCCATACCCAACACACGGGACACAATACGACAAACCGCAGTACACCTATCAGTCGATGATGGCGTACACGATTCTACTGCGCAACGTCACGCCAACCCAACAGCAAAATATCCGGTCTTATCGAGGATACGGCAACTCCGCCGAGCTCGCGTACAACCACCTGAAGAATCTGTATCAGGCAACAGACAGCGTTAACCAGAGTCGGTTAATGGCACAACTGACAACAGTGGAAATGAAACCAGGCGAAAAGGGGATGGCGTATATCAGTCGCTGTCGCGAACTGCGCGACAAACTTCTTCGATGCGGAGGGTCGATATCGGAAGACGCCTTCGTCACAGTCGTCATCGGCGGACTTGGTCCTCATTGGCGCTCCACTCGCGCCATACTTCGAGCTCACGGGAAGATCTCCGAAGCAGCACTCTGCGCCGAAATCCACGCTGAACAACAAGACATGGACCTGCAAGAGGAACGGCACAAGAAGAAAACATCAGCACCCGAGTTTGCATTTCACACTCAACGGCGCTACAATAACAACAACCGACACCAACCGAAACCCGTACCTCCGTTCTGTCATATCTGCAAGACATCAGGACATCCGCGCACACACTGCCCGAATCGACAACAATCAACACCACCACAGCGACAGCTTCGACCTTCAAGCAGCCAAGTCACTTCAACACAAGCGAACCCCACCGCTCAAGTTCAAACGACATCAACGGGACAACCTGCACAAGGAGCAAGGAACATCGTCAGCTGCATGGCAAGACTGTCGGATTCCTGCATCACTGAATCGCCACCGCACTACTCACCAGAAGAACAACTTGACGAAAGGACTCCGCGCCGTGAGACACTGGAGCCGAACCCGACATACGCAGCTATCGCCCAGAGCGAGCCATCCGGGAAAGACACCTGGTTCTCGGACAGTTGCTGCGGGCAGCATATGTGTTCTTCGGGTCGCTTCGTTCAACGCGAACACCAACTTCAACGCGAGGTCGTCATTACCGTCGCCAACAATCAGAACCTGCGCACACGACGACAAGGCGTGGTCCAACTTCAGTCAAAGGAGACAAACGTTATACTGCAGATGTCAAAGGTCTTAATCGCGGAGGGACTCGGCTACAACTTACTGAGCATCAGCCAGTTGATGGCGAAAGGCATCCACCTCGAAGCAGATAGCACAACACAGGAGTTCAAGCTGTACCACGGGAGAGGAGGTCTTTACATCGGCAAGGCCGTACTGAAGAATAACGTGTTCGTCCTCGACTTCGTCCCAGACTTAGGCACCGCCGACAGCGATGGAATCGTCACCTTCACCTCCTGGACACACCCACCGGATGTTGATCCTGACTTCAGCCCCGAAGGGTTCTGGTATTCACATACCATTCCTGAGGCAGAACGAACACGAGCATTAGCAACGATTCAACACTCGGCAGCAGCAGAGGCAACATCGGCAGTAGCAGAGACAACACCGACAGCAGCAGAGACAACACTGACAATAGCAGAGGCAACATCGGCAGCAGCAGAGACAACATCGGCACCAATCCCGGGTTCTTCAACCGCACCAGCTCCGATCGACGACGACACTCCACCGACCCCTGCGCAGCAGCTGAATCCAACACCTCGAGAAGTACATCGAAGCGCAAACT